CATGGCACGAGAGGCTTGTAATATGACTGAGCATCACCCCCTTCTTTACAAAGTGGTACAGAATCCTGCTTACTACAAAATTTAAAAACACATACGTCACTAACTTCTGTCAAGTTATAGTAGGAACTCTACAAAGGACAACTAATAGTTGTAAACTTGATATCAATAATCTTCCATAACGGTTAATTACTATGATGAAACAAAGCAAACATTCACATTTTTCAATATCCCTTACCGTGCTGAATAGCATTTAGTATCAGCAGTCTTCTGCCAGATAAAAGTCTCATCCTGCTGAGCTAGAAGAGTCCAACAGATTTTTTGGGCCAGCTCTTCCATTGGGTTCAACATGATTCTCTTTTTCAGGTTTACCTGCGATGCACCTCTTATTGCCTGCTTGTGGGTGAAGTTAAAACAAAGTATCCTCCAGGTTTAAGAACACGGTCAACCTCTATAAGGAATAGACCATCTGTAGAATAAAGTCATTGTCAGTAAGAAAAAATGTTCACAGAACTTCCTACATGAGCTAAATAATGAAGAACTAATAAATTGCAGTGAAGTATTCATAAAGTATTGAAAAAAGGCATAATGCCAAAGGCATTACTCTAGAGAGTAAGGGCAGGTGTCACTTCTTCATAACAACATTCAAGTCTCCATCCCAACCTCTTACTTGATTGGGGTATAATTATATATTTGAACAAAAATAGCATTTGCTTAAACTAAACACAATTGATACTAAAACCAAGATATGAATTCACCACTAAAATATAAACAAAATAAATACAGCACGTAAAGGCTACAGGCCAAAAACTGTGAAGATCTAAAATGTCAGCTAGAAAGTGACCCAGTGCATGGTTCAGTGATTTCCACTTTCTGTCAAGTTACTGCAGATATAATAACGCATAAAGGCTACTGTGGAAGCCTTCAAAAAATGACAGAGAGATTACCAATTTCTTGATTAAATGGGGGAAAGTACCTGTTGGCCTTTATCCTATTTTTATGTTTTTTAACAAAACTAATTCCATCTCCCTTGTCAACATTTATTCTTTACCCCTTAATTGTATTCACATGACAACAGCATGATAAATCCCAGAAAGATCAGGTACCAATACCCCAAACTCAGTGCATTGACAGTGGACTCTGAGCAAATACTTGTACTCTAAGAAGCAGAGACAGTGACACTGACACTGACATGGGCCACTAATGCCAATACCAGCTGGAACATAAACAGTCAATGTGATGGCAAAGCAAATCTAAGGAGTCAGGTTCTTTTTGAATTCTCACATTGTGTCTAATACTAGGAATCCAGCATATGTCAAAGAAGGTTTAGAAAAACGTGTCAAAGAAAGAAATGGATCTGATATAAATGTGCCAGTTTCATAGGCTGTACTAGTGCATCCCCATGTCTCCTAGTACTTGGAATGCCTAACCTCTAGGTTCCAGCTTAAATTTGTGCATTGACATACAAGGTCCTCGTTAATAAATAAATATTGCATATCAATAAGATTTCACCTTGTATCTCCCACTTGCTGACTCAAGAAAACCGCAAGCATCAATCAGAACCTGCAAAACTTTTTCAGTAACATTAAAAATAAATTGACATCAGCTGTAAATCAAGTTTTGGATGCTTCTGTACTATGTTTCAGCTCAAATCTCAAAGCCTCAAACATTTTCCTCATTGATCATCCATCCACCATATATATTATTTCAGGAGTTACTGAGGTTGAATAACTAATTTTTCCATGGAGAGAAATAATATATATTTTCTTAGGTTCTATGACACCAATGATGCAGCACCCTCAAAATCAGTCTATTCTCTTATTCTCTAACCTTAATCTAGAACAACTTTTGACAACTAAAACCCCACCCTCAACTTTAATTAATGAATGATGAATACATTCATCAGTAGGTAAGGCAATAAACAGGAAAAACTAGTTTGCAGGTAATAAGTCAAGCAAAAAGTCTAGGAAAGAAATGAAGTGTGAATTTTAAGATGTCAAAGGAATTTACTACTGAGGGTAGATTAATGCCTCTTAAATCTATAATTACCTTTCTCGTCCCACATGATACCACTCTGAGCACAGTGAATCATATCAAATGATAACAAAGGAAATGGAAGCTGTCTTGTAATAAAGTTGCCAATCACTGCAGGAAGACCCCTCTCAAGGGTCAATTGAACCTGGCTGCCAGTAGCCTCATACGCAGCAATACAAATTGCCATTAGATTCAATGTGGCTAAATGAGCTCCAAAGCTACCAAATCCACAATCAATGTCTAGTATAGTCCGGATCTGTCATAATGCCACAAATATAAATATTTCACAATATATGATGCTACAGAATTATCATGGTCCTGGTGATAGCTGAAAATAGAATATAGGCAGCTAAATAATGTATTCTTTCCTATTTTACTATAACAGAGCTATTTTGAATAGATCCTGTGCCTATCAAACATTATTGTTCACCAAAGAACTATTTGAGACAGAAGACTTACACCAGCTTGAGAAAATTCAGTGTCACTGCCTAGCCCTATCATCTCAGCCAGTTGACGAGAGTACTCTTTGACCCACCAAGATTAAACCATCATCTGAATGAAAAGCAATTTGATTTTCTCTAACAGCATCAACCTAGATAATATTTTACAAGAGATTTAGATAGTGAAAACATATTCATTGTAAAACCATAATGGAGAAAGACATTGTAACAATGGTGGTGCTTTAATTGATAGTCATTTATAAAGGCTTAAACCAATATTCTGGCCACTTCCCCACCCTAGCAGCTATATAAAGAAATACCTTTTGGTCAGACTTCCAGAAGAAAGAAATTGGTCTTTGGATATCTTCACGTTTCCACTCCATATAACATCCCTACCAGCTGCCC